GTGGCTTGGGCCACGTATACGGACATGTGGCGGGCGAGGTGGCGGGTCTGACACAGGCCCGTAACACCAACCAAGAGAGGAGTAAAGATCAACATAATTCCTCAAGTGTTCATCCTGACTTGATATCCATGAGAAAACTACAACTATGCCTTCCACATTCCCTCTTTCTTTTCTCCCCCAATAGTACTCCCTCCAAACCCCCACATCTTTTCAATTTCCTCTAGAAAAACCCAATTCCCTAAGAAGTTAAATTTAAAAAAAAATTTCAAACAATAAAAAAGTCCATTTGAACAAATAGGTAGTTAGCCTTTTTCAAGAACTTGGTACGGAGGAGGGCTATTAGAAATCTGAAAATCTAATTGGGTGTGCTATTTTTTTGTTTCTTGTGGTCTATCTTGAAATTGATAAAGAATTGACGATATTTGTTTCCTGAGAATATATCCTCCGCTTTTTATCGAATGATTTGCACTATCCGTTACACGTCGTTGTTGGACACTTAGAGTAGTAAATTGTTGTTGAATTTTCATTTGTTATCTGTCATTAAACTTCTTTTCCTTGATCTCGTGATTAATTTCTAACTATGAAATCTGCCCCAGATTTTCAACAAACTGTCATATAGCTCTCAGAAAGTGTCTAAAGTGAGGTATAGGGACAACAATATATACTAGAAAAGAATGGTGCCATTGGACTTTTTATGTGTCGGGTTGTTAATGGTTGATCGTGAATTAAGACTCAACGCGAGAGTCTATTAAAAGTATAAATCGTTTTCCTTATTGAAAGTATATAATTTTTTAAAATTTCTAATATACGATTATTTAATGTACCTTGTTATCAACAAATATAAACTTAATCATTATTTAATGTAGGGGTATATTATAAAAAATGTAAAAATAAAATAAAATTATATTTTCAACTATATTAATTACATTTTTGAAAATAAAAACAAACATTGTGGCATCAAAATTGCCATGTCGGTCCGGTATTTCTTAATTTCATTGAACGCTTTCTACTGAACTTCCTCGTACTCGAACTCTTCCGAATCCTTTAGTTTCACAACAGGGAGATCATGGTTGAAGTTTCCTTTGAGATTTGTGCGCTGAAGCCCCTATTTAACTTCCTTTATAACAAAACAATTTAGTTATTATACTCATTTTCAACCACATATGCACATAATAAAATATTTTGCACGTAAATAGAACTTTTACCACTTTTTAACTATACATTCTTCAAAAAAATAATATTCAAAACATCATTTTTCCACAATAATAACCATCAAACGTAGGCTAAATATTATAGACTTTGTTAGGTCTAAGTGAGTCTTTGCAAGTTTCATTTTCCAAAATCATTAAATCGTGTTGTAATTGAAATTGTGTTGATGGGTGTTAATTGTTGGTTTAGTATATCATCAAAACTCATGCAAGTAGAAAAAATCACCTTGTCTATCTCTCAAGAATTGTCAAGGAAGGTGCTCGAGCAAAATTTCTAGAACATGGATGCTCGATGGTCATCCAAAATGTGCTCGAGCATAATTTTTAGAACATGTATGCTCGATGAGCATCCAAAAGATGCTCGATCACAATTCTCATAATATGTACGATCAATAAATGTTCAAAATGTGATCGAGCGCCCATCATATCCAATTGATTGTCCCAACCTACATTGGGAAATTGTTTGAACAGTCTTATAGGCGGGAGGA